TGGCACAGGGGCATGACAGATTGTACAAGACCCGCCTAATTTGGGCCCCTGATATAAGGCCATAAAAGCCTGGACACTCAGAAGGCTGGGGATGTGGCTCAATGGCACTGCACCTGCCTCACATGTGGAAGGTCCTGAGTTCTGATCCCCGGTACCACAAACACAAAACAAAACAAAACAAAAAAGCTCGAAATATGGGATTTCTGTCCATTTTCCTTCCTAAAGAATAAATGAAGCAGGGGCCGGGGATTTAGCTCAGTGGTTTCAACGCCTGCTACACAAGCACAAGGACCTGAGTTCGATCCCTGGTACCAAAAAAAAAAAAAAAGAATAAATGAAGCATATTCATAGTGTGAAAAATATTCCCTCCAGGGCCAGGGATTTAGTTCAGTGGTGCTGCACCTGCCTGGCAAGTGCAAAGTCCTGAATTCGATCCCAGGTACTGGAAAAAAAAAATTCCCTCCTACAAAATAAATTAAGCGTATTCACGGTGTTAAAATTTAGGGTCCCATTCAGAGGCCATGCCTCCCCACTCTCTAACCTATATTGACCCCATACTGAGTTGCAAAGGGAAATCATCCGTTTCTTTTTTAAATCCTCTGTTTTAAAGTGGCCCCAATTTTGCAAAACACAACCTAAAGAAGACATTTCAGGGATAGATGCTGAGTTACCCATACTCCAGCAAGCTGCACTGTACACCTTCAAGATTTCCCTTGAGTATTTCTGGAGAGATAAAGAAAGAAAAGAAAAACAAAACAAAAAGATGAGAGCCTATTTCGGTCCCCAAGGTCAGGCGATGGAGCCTTTAAGAAGTACTCCCTGGCAGGATGGCCTCTAGTCGCTTGGGGCCATGCCCTTAAAGGGGAGACTGGACCCCAACCCCTTCCTCTTCCTTTTCAAAACTTGGCCATGAGGTACCAGTTTCCCTACACACTCTGCCTTGCCACAGGACCAGCCATCCAGGAACTGAAACCTCAAAAGCTGTAAGCCAGAGTCGATCTGTCCTCTTTTTAAGTTTATTATCTCTGTGTTGTTGTTGTTGTTCATTTTTGTCTTCGTAGTACTGAGGATTAAACTCAGGGCCTTCAAGCTGAGCTATATCCCCAGCCTTTTTTTAGTTTATATTTTGAGACATAGTCTCACTAATTTGCTAAATTGACCAGGGTGGCCACAAACTTTCAATCTTTCTGCCTCAACCTAACAGGGTGAAGTGATTAAGGCACATGCACACCACCACGCCCAGATGGAATTTTGTTACAGTAACAGAAACTGAACTGACACCATGAAACATAATGAAAATGGTAACTGTCATTCAAAGACTTTGAAGAAGATCTTAACTAATAGAGTGATTAAACCATGTTCATAGCTTGGAAGATTCAAAATTCTCTACAAGTTGCTCTCCAGAATCAATGCAATGCCACCAAAACTATCAAAGAAATTGTCTATGGAATTGACAAGCTCACTCTGAAGTGTACCCTTTAAAATGGAAGACCACTAATAGTCAAAATATTCCTACACATGAAAAGCAAGTGGGAGATTTGCCTTACCAGATATCTAAGATTGTTATGAAAATATAACAATTAAGACATGAAAATAAATGCAAGCAGCTGTGGCACAAATGTCCTAATAGAACAGACCAACACAGGAAGGCTCATAGAAGCACTGTTGGAAATAGGAGAAAATGGAAAGAACCCAAAATTAAAATCAGCAATAGGCAAGATAAATAAATTATGTCACAGTCATAAGATGAACTGTTATATAACAAACCATTAAATTAAAGCTACATCTAATAATTAGAGTGAATCTCAAAAATTACAATGATGCAAATCCACGTTTATTTAGAGATGAACATACATTTGTAAAAATTATGAAGGAAATGAAGGAAATGAGACCACAATGACCAGATTGTGGTAGGTTGTAAGGCAAGGAAATGAGATAGGGAAGACAAGTCTTGGGGTTAAAAAGTAATGGCAATATTCATTTCTTAAACTGGGTAAGACTGGGTAGTTTTATATTATTAATATATCTTACGGAGACTGGACTAAGACTATAGATTATCCAATTCCACAGGTTTCTAACAGGTTCCCGAAGTCGGATCCCTGCCCAAGCAGACCCGCTACCTAAAACAGAATTTCTAGGCAGATGGATATATTTCTAACAAAAAAAACTAAATTGGACAACTGTGAATTAACTGTGTTATTAAGCAACTATGGATTAACTAGGTAACTATGCTCTTTATAGAATGTACCTGAGTAGCCATGACAAGTTCTGTAACTTGTCACCACAGGACCATAACGAACTGACAAAGTCCTGCTAGAACTCTGCTCTGCCCGCCCCCTCCACTGCTCTGCTTTGTGTAAACTCTGCTTGCTCTATTCCCAGGGAAACCGCAATGGAATTAAGCCTCATAGGTGTAAAAACAATGTGCTCCTGCTTCTGTACCTACTGCTTGCAGCCCTGTAAAACTGCTGCCCCACAGATACTCTGGACCTAACTTCTTTGGGAGCTGTCCCAGTCAGGTCTGTCGACGAAATGAAAGAGTTGTACACTGCCTCCTGCCTCCCTGGGTGTCTTCCTTTCCCGGATCATTTTGCTACAACATGCTCACACGCGCAGGAGCACCGCAATGACAGAAAGCCAGCAGCCACCCCACTTGCTACAAAAAAGCTGATTCTACAAAAACCGCAAGAGACTTGCTGCACCCACCACGCCTGCCCGCCTGCTCCCACCGCCACCCGGTTTATCACCACCCCCAGGCCCATCCCCCATGGGACTCTAAAAGTTTTCCACCCTCTTGACCAGTGCCCCTCCCCGGCCCACACTCCCATGTGTCACCCTTGCACACCCTCTTCTGAGGCCAGCAGTCTTTTCTCCTTGGCTCATCCACACCCAGACTGCAATAAACTCATCACGTATTGCTTAGATTTTGTCTGCCTCAGTGGCCCCAATCGTGCCTCAGTCTGACCTTACAATTTCCACCTCCCAAAGCATATAAAAGATCCCCAGTTCCCAGCTGCATTGTGCCTTGTTTCTTTGAACACCCTCACTCCGCTCTTGAGTGTGTCCTTATCTTCCTCTAATAAACCTTTGTTATGCCTCATCTTAGATGTAGTCTATAAACTATTTGCGTATCCTCAATATTTAATTAAAACATTTAAGAGGAAATGAAGAAGAAATGGCCAGCATAAATCATGAAGCTGCCAGTATAGGCTGAGAGAAGCACCCAGGAGCTGGCCTGGGATCAGAAACCCTGGGACCCACCGGGAGCCCTTCTTATCTGGAGATCTGTCTGGGTGGCGGTCCTGCCTTCTGTAGCTACCCAGTCCTTTCACTTGCTGCCTAGGGTTAATACTGCCCACTGCGCATAAGTCTTCTGGGGGTGAGGAAGCAGTGGGTACAACAGCACCTTCTACAAACAGCACCTTGCTGCACTCTCTGTGAAAGGTGGTGGGGTTATTCTGGACATTTCAGGTAGGCTTGGTGGAGAACAGGCAGCTAAATGCTGTGACTCAGTCCTAAACTCCCCTCCCTATCTGGGGCCCAGCCTCACTCCTACAAGTAGACTGTGGTGCCGCTGTTTCTGCTTCCCAGGCGTAGGGGTAACTGAATGATGGGATTGATGACAATTATGCAGGGGAGGAGAGGGGCACTCAACCAAAGGAAGAGGAACGTGAGCATCCTGGGTCATCACCAGGAAAGAAACCCAAGGTAAATGAAGGCCCAGCTCCATCTGAACATCTCCCCCTCCCGTGAGCCTGGACCATGCTCACCAGCAGGCTCAAGGCTTCAATTCTGACTTTAAATCTGTTGGAGCAAATAACCAACCTGTGCCGCTGACCACACCTGGTGCCACCCTTTTGCTGCTGCAGTCACCAGATTCCACTGTAAATCCTACTTCCCTCCCCTCCTCCACACAAAAGAGAAACCCTTGAAAATTATATCCCTATGCAAACCATCCCTATGCTATTGGTTTGGGATTTTGTTTTGTTCTTCAAATCTGAATTCTTGTTTGCCTCCCCTGTGCTCGTGGAGCAGCAGAAGCTAAGGCTATGCCGGTTTACTGAGCAGGTGGACTGTGCCCTCAACGTCCTCTCCCCATCCCTCCCACCTGCCCTAGGAGTCCAGGGCTGATGGCCTTGCCGGAGCAGCCCGCCCTGCAGCCTGAAGCCTCTGTCCACTGGAACAAGTGCACCTCCCTTGGGGGCAGCGCTGGCCTATGCAGAGGTCTCTTAGCTCCTGACTGCAGAGGGAGGGAAGGGGCGGGCTGAGCCTATTTGTCTGCACACCGCCTTCCCTGCCTTGGCTTGCCGACTGACAGTGTGTGTGTCCAAGGTGAAGTTGAGCTGCTGTATTTGGGGTCGACGGCCCGAAGCCAGATCAGCCTTCCCTGGGCATGTGGCCTGGCCAGGGACCTCCATTGCGACCCCACTGCGGACCCCTCGTGACGCAGTGCTGCTCACACCACCATCTGACATGCAGTTGCCATCCCTGAATTCAGGACTGTCTGCTACATGGTGCCTCCCCTCCCCAGATGGGCACATGGGCAGCAACCTCAGGAAAACTCCTGGGGCCAAGCCCTGGGCATCTCAGGCAGGCCCACTCTGCCCACCCCACTGAGGTGAGAAAGTGGATGGGCCCCAGCCCAGGGCCTGTCCACCTCCGCCCCTCTCACCACTCCCAGAGCCAGACTTGTCTTCCAGCAGCCTGCCAGGCCTGTCTGCCACACTTCTAGGGACCCCAGACGCCGGACACCGCAGCCCAGGCCCCGCTCCTTCTCCAGGCCCAGCCCAGATCCTCTCACTCAAAAGCACTTGAGGCCCTGTCCTTAGGATGCCTTTGCCAAGAGGGGCGTCTTTCCTAGTGCAGACAACAGCTCCCTGCAGTGGGTCCCAGGCCTGGAGAGTCATTGGGTGGCTCTCAGAGGTCAACCGTGAAGCAGACTTCTGCTGGCTGTTACAGCACCAGCCAAGGAGAAATCAGAAACCACTGGGAAGCCAGGGCACAAGAGATCTGACCCAAAGTTTATTGAACAATTACCCACAGCCAGATTTGACTCAGGTCCCCAGAAGGCACCTCCACGTTCCCAATTTATTTGTTCTCCTTGAGGGATTCACTGTAGATCCAAGCCAAAGTCCCCAGGAAGGTGAAATACTCCCGAAGTCCGCGATGCGGTCCCTGTTCCGGTCCATGTCCGGCAGGACTGCTTCCATCTCAGCGTGGCACAGCTTCTATGTGTTAGAATGGGAAGAGCAGGCTCAGGGCCGACCAGCATCCGAGGCTCTCCCCTCCCTCCCTCCGTCCCTCCCCGGGAGCCGCTTTCTGTCAGACCAGGGGCTCTGCTCACTGTCACCAAGGAAGGGCGTCCGCCTTGGCTCCACCTCGGCTTTACTCCTCGCCCTGCCGCTCCTTGCTGGGAAGGACTGGACCCCTGGCTGGGAGCACCCCGCCTCTCCAAGCATGGACCCATCAGGCCGAGAATGAACAAGGGCTGGGAAGGCCCCGGGGGCCCCGTCTGGATGAGCTCCTTCAGCTCCCTCTCGTCCGGGCGCCCCCGCCCGAGTGCTTGGGAAGAGGGACACGAGCTAGGTAGGTGTCCGGCGGCCTCGTCCGGGGAGGACCGCACGGCTGGCGGGGGCCGGGCCGGAGACGGAGGCGCTGCTCAGAGCTGCCGGCGGGGCCTCTTGCTCCCCACACGGCCCAGGCGCTCTGTCCTCACCACCTGGCCCTCCCTGCGGTGGGCAGCGGGGCCCAGGGGACGCGAGCCGGGGGGGGGGGGTCGCAGGGCTCCACGGAGCCCCTAGGGCGGGCAGCTTCGGGCGGACTGAGGGCCGTGCTCCGGGCTTCCGGGAGAAGCTGGGGAGCAGGACCGGGCGCGGCCGGCAGAGGCGCACCCAGGACCCACCTCCGGCACCCCGAGGAGCCGCCCCGCCCGGCCCCTCCCCAGTGGGCCCGAAGCCCGCCGCCCGCGGAGCCCCCAGCGCGGCCGGGAAGGGTGTCGGGCGCAGCGAGCGGCCGGGGCTTCCGGGCCGGGCGGGGATCCGGGAGCCCAGCGGCGCGCAGGACGAGAGGACCGGGCGGGCCGCACTGCAGAGGGAGGGCGCCGAGGGCTCCCCCCCACCGGCTCCCTGCGCGCTTCCCGGCAGGCACAGGGCTCTGGGAGGCAGCTGGGCCACCCACTGCTTCCCCAGCCCCTGCCCGCCAGGCTCAGAGCAAGCGGGGTCAGCGGCGGACGGCCTCGGACTTCAGGGACGCTGGCGCCCCCAGAGGTGGTGCGAGGAGCTCCGGAGCCGAGCCCAGGTCCGCCCTCGTGGGTAAGGGTCTAGGACCCCCGACCTGCGCTCCCCGGCCCTGCCCCTGGGATCCCACCCGGCCCGCCTGCGCTCTGCCCTGCGGGCACGGCTAGTCGTTCACCCCGTAGTGAAGTTTACCAGCCCGGGTCTCCTGGGGGCAGGGGCGGCAGTAGAGGCCCGGGGCTGGGGATGGGGCACCGGTCGCCTCCCGGCCTCCTGCGAGCTGCGCCCAGGTCAGACCTGCACCCACCCCTGGCCTGGAGCACACCCCAGGCCCCGGGCTTGTGCGCCCTCAAAGCACTTCCCGCTCCACTTTCTCTGCCTCTGCAGCTCCTCCGGCGGCTTCCGGTCCAGAGGAGCCGAGTAGGACCGAGACATGGCGCGGGGTGGGAGCCTGGGGCTCTCAGGGAGGAGCTCTGCTTGGATGCCCGGCTGTGTGGAGGCAAAGGAGACAGTCAGGACCCGCCAGCCGCCTTTATTTCATCAGAGAGGAGGGGATGGGGCCGAAGAGGGTCTGCGCCGGGGTCTCAGGGCCAAGCAGCAGGGGTGAGGCCCAGCGGGAGCGCAGAGCGCACGGGTCATTTGTTGTCCTCCAGGAAGAAGTCGTTGTAGGCCATGCACAGCGTGGTCAGGAACACCGAGTACTCCTTGAAGTCGATCTCCCGGTCACTGTTCTTGTCCAGGCTCCTCATTAGGTCGTCAATGCTGCTCTCCTTCATCCTCTGGGAAGACCCAGGCTGAGAGCGGGCTCAGGAGCACCCTGGGCCCTGCAGGCCCAGGGTGCCCCCGAGGCGAGCCGCTCCCCGCCCAGCCCAGCCACGCCTGGCACAGACTCACGCCTGGCACAGTGGAAGGCCAGCCTGCTCTCCCTTCCCAGCACCTCCGCAGCCAGGGGAACGACAACTTGGAGCCGCCTGAGAAGGGGCCAGGCAGTCGTGGCTCCCTGAGCTCAGCCTGGTGCTGCACGGTCCTCTGTCTGGTCCCCTGCCTGCCACCCTGCTCCACCGGGAGCACAGAGCCGGAGCCCTGGCCGGGAGAAAGGGGCTCTTCACTGCCTCAGCTCAGGCCTTCCTAGGCTCCAGCACCCTGGGACACGGGAAGGTGGAAACTGTCTGCATGGAGACCCTGCTCCCCAGCTGGGTCCTGCCTTCCCCAGGCCTCCCCTGGCCCTGGCCCCCAGTAACCAGCCTTCCCTCTGCCCTCAGTAACTCCAGGGGCCTGGCGGGAAGGCCGGAGGTCAGACCTTCACCCCTGCCCTGGGAAGCACTCAGGGTTGGAGATGAGCCTGAGGGGCCTCCCCCGGGCTGAACCACCAAGGAGAGAGGAGCTCGCGCCTGGCCTGGAATTCCAGCTCAGCCTTGAGCTGGACAAGTTCTCCAGTGTGCCTGAGCACGTCGCGTTTGCCTCAGGGGCCTTGCCCTCTGGGGGTGACCTCTCCCTCCATCTCCATCTGCTGTGAACCCGGTCTGCCTCCGTTCACAAACTAACCTTTTAGTGCACCTGTCGACCCTGTCTGAGGGCTGTGGCCCCGCACACAGAGGAGAATCAGGCACAACTTGACCCGGACACCCCAGACTCCTTCGCCTCCCCCAAGTTCCCCCGCACAGGTCCTGTCACCACTGTGACACCCGACCCGGCCATCAAGACTCCTTCCCCTGCTTCTGGAGCCTCACCCAGGCTGTTCTCCATCCCCAGACTCCACCTTGCTCCTCAGTGAGATCTGGCTCATCCCCCAGAACAGCGGTCTAGAGCTCTGATGACCCGAGATGTCCAGCCTCTTCCCTATGCGGCTGGACAGAGCCTTCCACCAGCCTGCCCCTGGGTCAGAGAACTGGGGAAGGGTGTGTGTCCCCGAAGGGCGGCTCGGGCTTGTGTAGGGTAAGGGAAAGGCCACCTACCTCCCCAAAACTCAGCTCCTCCTTTATCAGCTCCTTCAGCTCCTTCCGGCTCAGGGTCAGTTTGCTACCCTCTCTCCCTGAGTATTTGTGAAAAGTGGTGACCATCGTGGTCAGGGCCTTCTCGAGAGGGGTCTCCATCAGTGTGCAGCTCTGCAGGGGGTGAAGGGGGCATCACAGCGCTCAGGAAGCCAGGGCTTCTGCTCCTGGCCACCGTGGCCCCTGTCACTCCCAAAGCCTCCTTCCCAGGACCAGGACTGGAAGCCATGGTGAGGCCAAAATCCACCAAGAGGACCCATCCAGGTCCAGACAGGCTCCAGTGAGACCAGGACAAAGGCTGAGCAATCAGCGCAGTGAGAGCTCAGGCCCCAGAGGAGGCTCCTCTGCTCTGGAGATGTTGACAAAGGGGCCCAGGAGCAGAGTGGACAGAAGGCCTCCCCAAAGAGCTGGTGGCAGATAGGGAACAGGTGCAGGTCAGTGGCTCTCTCTGCCCCATCCAGCTCGGACACTGGTTCCCCAGGGACAGTTTCACCTTAGTCCTCCTCTTTCCCCAGTGCCCCCACCACCTGATATCAAGAAGAGCCTTGCTGTAAAAGAGGGGGACAGGGCAAAGAGAGAGTTAGGGTTCAGAGGGGGCTGGAGCCGGCAGTGGGAGATAAGGTCTTAGCGGCAAGCAGGACCTGCCAGGTGACCTCCAGTCAGTCCCAAGCCCAAGAGCTACCTACGACCAGCACCCACAGGCCGGCTAGGAGCCAGGGGCCTCTGAGACCTGGATCCAGGGCCTTGGTTTAAGTGAGGGCCTGGGGCTCTCAGCACAGCCACCCACAAGAGAAGAGGCTGCTGGAGGTTGTGTGACTCAGACCTGAAAACCGCATCCCTTTAGGGAGGCAAAAGGAACATCCACAGAACTGAAGTGCTGCAGGTAGATCCTGAGGGGAGTCCTGAGCCAGGAGGAAGAAGGTGCTGGCTCCCACTTGCAGCCCAAAGCCCACCCCGCTCTCCACCTGGACCATCATTCATCTCCCACCACCCAAAATCCTCAGCTTCTCCCACTCGAGGAGACTCAGCCAGGGCCACAGCCCAAAGCAAGAGCCTCTGGGTATCTGCAGGAGCATCCTGGTTGCTTCTGGTCCCCCACCGCCACTTAGCAGGAAATTCTTGCGAACTCAGTTCCGAACTCTGCCCTCTTTCCTGAGCACGCCCCTACTCACAGCCTGGGCCTTCTTTGTGGGGGTGACTGTGGCTTGTCACCCTGTGGCCTCCTCACCCTTCGGGGCCCAGCGAGACAAACGGAGATCAGAAGGGAGGACTCACCAAGGAGGGGCAAACCCAGAGCAGCCAAGCAGCAGCAGTGGCCTCCTGCCCGCTGCTCTCTGACTTTATTCCCTTGCTCCCAGGGCCCGAGAGACCAGGGAGAGACAGGGCCAATGAGAAGGGGTCAGGGACATGAGGACGCCCAGCAGAGCCTCCTGAGTCGGGCAGGGGAGAAACCCCTGCCCCTTTCACCATCCTTGCTAACAAACAAGGGCAGGGAACACACTGAGCTCACCGTGGTACACAAGAAAGATCAGAACTCACTACTCAATGGAGCAATAGGCAGAAGAGGGCGGCGTGCGGGGCCAAACCTAAGGTGCCTCCCACATCCTAGGCCACTCACCCACTCCAGCCGCAGAGGAGTTCTCCGTCAGGCGGTGGGGGTGCGCTTCCTGCCAAGGACACAGTCAAGGTCATTAGCCACTATGAAGACAAACTTGTTTTGTTTTTGTTTTTGGGGGGGTATTGGGGATTGAACTCGGGACCTTGCGCTTGCAAGGCAGGCAGTGGAACCGCTGAGCTAAATCCCTGGCCCCTGAAGCCAAACATTTTGACAGGGCTTTAAATGAATGGTTTCTTTTTTGGTTTGGTTTTGGTTTTGGTTTTTGAGATAGTTCAGACTCCCCTTGAACTCACTTTGTAGCTCAAGCTGGGCTCGAACTCACAGGGAACCTCCTGCCTTAGCCTTCCAAGAGCTGAAATTACAGGTGAGCACCATCATTCTTGCAAACCTCCATAAGAAAGAACTGTCTGAGACTCTTGACACGGAGGACTGAGAATCAGCCGCTGGGGAAGGGTCCAGGGAAAGGTTAGGGTCTGGTGATGGGGTAGCGGTAGGGTGGGAGGCAGCAGGCTTGGGGTGCACACGATGAGGAAAGTCAGAGTCGGGGAGTGTCACCTGTATCCCAGACGCTGTTCCACCACCAAGAACACCAAGTATGAGGACTAGGCTAGGGACTTAGCACCCACCCCTGCTGCTCTCCCACCTGGCTTGGATCGTCCGCTCTGCCCCCAGCTACAGGACTAACAAGGCAGCAGGGACTTGTTGCTAGGCAGCAGGAGTTTCCAGTCGTGAGTGATGCAGGAAGAGCCTGAGGGAGGGCAGTCCCGTGGGAGCCAGGCGGCCCTCAGGAGTGGGTGGAAACAGCAGGCCTTTCCTGCGTCAGACTCCAGGGGAACGTCTGAGTCACCTACCCTGCTCCTCTGATGCTGGAGAGAAAAGCCCAGGGTGATGAGAAGGGAGCCTTGAGAGGCCAAGGAACTGCGCCTCCAGCTCCCGGCTGGGCATCCATGCACCCCTTCCTTACACGTCCCCGGATCTTCCAGGCATGGCCTTGAACCCTGGAGCCACAGCCTTAATCTGTTCTAAGTGGAAGCAAAGCCACACTTCGTGGGGGCGACTGTGGCTTGTCACCCTGGGGCCTCCATTTTCCGGAGGGAGGATTTCTAGTTCACTTCACAGAGCCTGTGTCTGGAGTTCGTGCTCATCCTCCCCTCATGCCCACCAGCCGTGGCCCCTCACTCATCCCTTCTGAGACTCTTGACCTCCTCTGAAGACCTCAGTTCCTCCTAACAGATCTCATCCTGGGGTCCCGAGGACAGAGAGAACTCCCTCAGGCCGCAGCGAAAGATCCCTCTACATGGCTTGGGCAGGCAGGGTTACTCTTCCTGTGGAGTGCAGCAGCAAGCCGGAAGGGGAAGCAGGCCAGGGCCTGGACCACGAATGTCAGGACTGAGCGACAGCCTCCTGGCCACCGCTCTGGCCTACAACTCCTCCCTCCTCGGACTTAGCCCTCCTGTCTTCCCTGCAGACCCAACCCAAAGCAGATGTGACCTTCAACCCCCTTCCAGCCTCAGTTTGGGGCCCTGCCAGAGAGGGGTGGGAGAGGGAGGCAGCGGGACAACGTCGCACAGCCGAGGCTGCCCGAGTCCAGTGTCACACACACCCTCAGTACGCTCACACCCGTCTCGGTCTTCACTGCTCTCCTCTCCCCCCGTCTGCAGCTCAATTCCTGGGCGCCCGCCGTCACCCCACGACAGACCCCTCAGCTCCAGCCACGCCTCCAGGGTCCGCGCACCCACGGGCCTCGTAGTTCCCAAAACTCTTTATTGAATTTGCTCAGCGTCATGCACACATCCAAAAGCCCGAGTGAGCACTGTGCTCACTGCGCCTCCGAGGACCCCAGCCGCAGACCCCACTCCCAACCCAAGGCCTCCGAGGAGCCTTCACTTCTTCCGGGGCTGCTTATCGGGGCAGCCCTCAAAGAACTCGTTGCACATCATGGCGATGCAGGACAGGAAGACGCAGTACTCCTGGAAGTCCACCTCGTTGTCCCGGTTGCTGTCCAAGTTGCTCATCAGCTTCTGGAATGCAGCCTCATCCGTCCTTTTCTGGAGGCAGAAGAAGCTGCCGGTAGAACGCAGAAGCCAAGAAGGGCCGGGGACCTGGATCTGAGACTAGGCCAGGTTCCACCTCTAGACTGCAGCTCAGGACGGCTAAGGGCTTTGGGATTCCAAGCCTCAAGACTAAGCAAGGTGGAGACAGCTGCTCCCTGGGGGAAGAAGTCCAAGTACCTGGAGGCACTGGGAGTGGACGGGACCACGTCTTACCCACGTTGGTTGCAATTACCCAACCACGTGATGATCACGAAAGCACTGTATTAACGACTGCAAGCTGCATGGGGGTCTGTAGGTGTGTGGATGTCCTCATAATTGCGTCTTCAGACACAGAAACCCAAAGGCCGCCCTTGGCAGGGCCGATGGTGAAAGTCACAGTCCTGATCTGGATCAGTTTGTTTTGTGGTGTAGGGACTGGATCCGGGATATCATGCATGCCAGACAAGTACTCTACCACTGGGCCTTACCCAGTTTTGTACACTGATTACCTCGGGAAGTCATTCAGCTCTCTGGGCTTTGCTGTTCCCTTCCATTAGGTTGTGCAAAGCACCTCACAGAGCACTGGCCTGTGGCCATTCACCAGCCCTCTATGGTGGAACACAAGAGGTGGGTGCTCCCTGAGTTTCCACCCCAAGGAGCCAGAGCTGGCTCTCAAACCCATCTCCCCACCTCGGTGAGCGCTCCAACTGCAGCCATGCTCTGCACAAAAGCAGGCGCCTCCCGGGCCCACCCGCTTACCCGTGGCTACACCCAAGGGCCCTTCCCCGGCAGAACCCACTCACGCCCAAGAAGCTGGGCAGCTCACGAGTCAGCAGCTCCTTCAGCTCCAACTTGTTCAGCTTGAACTTGTCGCCTTCTCTGCCTGAGTACTTGTGGAAGGTGGACACCATCACGTCCAAGGCGTTCTCCAGGGGAAGAGCCATGGCAGCCTCTGACCTGGGGTGGCAGGCACCCATCCCCAGCCATGAGTTCAGTGACCTGCTCCACACCCATCCTTGAGGTCCCACCCAGGGGAGCCAGAAAAGCGGGGCCAGCTTCTGGCAGGAGAGATGCACAGTGGGAAATGCAGGCTACAGGCAACAAACATTTGCAGGTCCTGGAGATCCCAGCAGCCAGTTCCTGGGCCTCCCTCAGGCCTCTCCTCAACAGCAGCATTTTCCACCCTCACTAAATCCAACCACTCCCATAGTTCAACCACAAGCACAGTGCCCCACCCTGCCCCGACCCATCCCCCCTCCCAGTGCAGGCAAGGCTGGCGGAGGCCTGCCCACAGCCCTGCAGGGGAAAAAAACAGCCATCTAGTGCTCACTGCCCCATGGAGGGAGGCAGGGCGTGGTGGCAAAGTGTGAAGGACAGGGGAGGCCAGGCTCAGGCTGAGCAGCGGGCATAGGCGGAGGCTCACAGGCTCCACCCATCAAGGGCCCACAGGGCTTTTGCCCATACCCAAGGGTGCACACACGAGCTTGTACAGCCAGCAGACACAAGCCAGCAGGCCTACGCTGGGTCATACACACCACACACACTGACAGCAGCTCACACAAACCCACCATCTCGGGAGCCCTGGGAGAGCTCAAGTCCAGCCACCTGCACACTTTTGTGTTTCTTACTTTCTCACACACACTCTCCCCAGAGCCGCCACGCTAGTCTCACATCTGGAGCTCTAAGGCACACCTGGCCCTACAGCCGCCCCTTCTGCTCCACCGACTCCCGCTCTGACTGCCCTTGCACGGCTTACCAGACCGAGAGAGGAAGTGCTGAGCAGAGCGGTTTGGGTTTGGGGAGAGCCCAGCAGTCTGACCTATTTATACCCAGGGAGGCCCTGCCCATGAGGGGCTGGAGAAGAGCTGACACTGCCCTCCTGCTGTAGGCTGAGTTCCACAGCCCGAGCCCCCCTCACCAGCCCAGCCTGGGAGCCTCCTACCCCCTAGCAGACAGCAAAGGGCAAATGCGCTGTCACCGGGACCTCGATGGAGTGGCACCACTCAGAGTCCGCAGCCTGAGTTTTAAGCAGCTGGCAGAAAGGGCAATCTGTGGTGGGGAGTGGAGCAGTCCCACCAGGCGGGGGGTGGGTGATGGCAGGAAGTTGCCCCGAAATGCAGCTGCCCCAGAGCGGGAGAGGAGGGCACAGGCCTGAGCTGTGGGATGGCTCCGTCAGCCCCTCTCCCTCACCGAGGGCTCTCTCCACGCACACAGGCCTGGGCTGCAGACTGGGGGCCAGGAGGGGCTTGGGACCCCCTAGGAATGTCAGGGAGAAAGGTCCTGGAGAGCTAAAGGTGCAGTGGGGGTGGGAGCAGGGTGCGGGGTGTTCGGGAATAAAGGACCCAGGACAGGGTGGGGGAGTCAGGCTCAGAGCTAACGGGTCGGGATGGGGCCTGAGCTCAGACTGAGGGAGGGCCAGAGTGGGGCCTAAAGCCCTCAGGGAGTGGCTGGGAGCAACTGTCTCAGGGACGGGGTCTGCCCCAAGGTACTCCGTCCTCCTCCAGTGTGGAGCATCCCCTTCCTGGCTTCCAGCAGAATCCTCAAGTGCCCGAACCCAATTACTGCTCCTCTCTGGTCTCCCACAGCCCTGTCCGACCCCACCCATGGTCCGCCCTCAGGCCCAGAACATCTGGTCATGAGAACTGAGTTCTGTCCCCAGAGAGCCCTTCCCCCATTCTTTTTTGGTTTTTGTTTATCCAGTCCTGGGAATTGAACCCCTTTAGCATGCTAGGCAAGAATGCTGCCACTGAGTGAAGTCCCCAGGCCCCGCCAACTGTTCCTGGCAGGCCAAGGTGGGACTTCTCCCTCCAAGTCACACAGATGAAGAGTGACAGAGGGGACAGAGCTGGGGCTCTGCTGGCCTCCCCTGGTCTCCTTGTGTCATCCCCACCCCTCCCATTTGAACACTGAGACAAGACGTTTCTCAACCTCTGGAAGTGCCCTCAGGGCCCATGTAGCACTCTGGCTCCTCCCCTCCGGCTGCTTCTTCCTGTGGAAATGGCCAGGAAGGAGGACTCCATCCCAAGACCCAGCATGTCTGCCCAGAAGAACCTTAAGGGAGCCACGCTGATGCCATGTCTTTATTAGGAGTTACACCGGCCTTTCCACCATGGTTTCATTTACACACTCGCTGCTGGGCCTCCAGGGCCTTCATGACAAAACTCCACCTCCCCACCCACAGAGAGAGGAAGTGCAGGTGGGAGCTGCCTGCCCCTCACTGGCTGGGCATCCAGGAAGGTCTCATGGTTAAAGAGTTGGCACAGGAGGGCAAATGGGGTCCAGACCAAAAGGGGTACAGGAGCGAAGGGAGGGAGGGTGAGGGAGATGAGCCCCGGACCCCTCAGGGCAGAGATGGACCAGACCCCGCCTTTCAGGCCAGCACTGGCCTCCAGAGCAGAGCGCAGGCTACTGAGAGCAGGGAGGCTCTGGGGGGCACTCCCTGAAGTACTCGTGGCAGAAGAGACAGAGGCGGGCGAGTGAGTGCACGTACTCTTCGAAGTCCACCTCGTTGTCCTTGTTGGTGTCCAGGGCACTCATGAGCTTGTCGTAGTCACACTCCCGAAACTCCGTCTGTGAGAAAGGGGTGCAGAGGGAGGAGAGGCAGGCCAAGGGTTAGAGCAAGTGTGCACGGCCCAGCCCAGCCCCCCGGGGGTCAGCCTCAGCCTGCACAGCCAACAGCGCGATTTCAGTCTGATTCCCAAGGGCGCTCGCTCTCGGGCACTGACTGAGCCCCTGCTCTGAGCTACTGAGCCCTGCATTCTTCACCCGGCTGCCTTAACTTCCCCAACCTCTGCGAGGCCAACAAGTGATTGCCATCCCATTTTACAGGCAGAAAATGGAAAACCAGGCATGGTGCTGCGCGCCTGTAATCCCAGCACTGGGGAGGCTGAGGCAGGAGAATCATGAGTTCTAGCCCAGCCTGGATTACATAATGAGACCCTGTCTCAAAAAACAAAAATATGAACAAAAAAGAAAATCCGAAGCGGAAGTCCACTTGGTCCCTTCCTAGTATCCCCTCGCCACGGTGTGGTCTCTGCCCTCGGCTGCCTCTGCTCACGCTGCCCAGGTCACTGCAGTCCACCCGGCGCCTCCCCTGGGCGGGGAGGGCGGGTGCAGGGAACTCACCGGGGTCCAGGTGGGCAGCTCCTTCCGGAGCAGCTCCTTGAGCTCCGCCCGGCAGAGCTTGGGCTTCTCTCCAGAGGCGCCGGCGTAATCCTGGAAGGTGAGCACGATCGCCGCCAGGGCCTGCTCCAGCGGCTGAGCCATCCTCACTGCCACGGAACAGGTCTGTGACCTCAGCAGAAGCCAGGCCGCCCGCTCTCTGCTCTGCCCTCGGGTTTCCCAAGGGCTGCTCCCCCCCCCCCCCCCCCCCCCGCGCGCCTCCTCTGAGCCGCGGCCCCACCGCGCCAGCCCTCCCGACCCCTCTCCTCTCCCGCAGTCTGCTGCTGAGGTCGGGGACAAGGGCTCGCTTCCCCAACAGCGGTGCCAACTCCTTAGAGAGAGCACCCGGCCCGACACCCTCACCCCGCAGCGGGGCTCCCCGATGGTTCTGACTCTCTCCCACCTTTGCTCACCCCACAACCCCCAGGAACCGCCCTGTGCCCCACATCACCTCGAGAGGGAGAGGCCGCCCCTGGCCCTAGAAGTCCCCTCCCCTTCGGGACCCCAGAGGGCCTCCGGTGAGAACTTGCAGGGGTCTTTGCCAGAGCTGAGTCTTAGCAGGGCAGCCCTGGGAGGAGACCCCCACCTCTCTGGCCCCTGCCCTGCACTCAAGGTGCTGCAGCCACAGGAAAAGCTGGGATCCTCTGCCTCTTGCTAGCTCTGCAACACTGGGCGAGCCATTTCCCTCTCTGGGTCTCAGGTGCCTTCTCAGAAATCGGGGCGAAGCCCCCTCACAGGCTGAGCCAGGCCGAGGCCCCCTGCCCCCTGCTGAGTCCACCCTCCTGGCCCTCAGGGTCTTGAGATAGGGTGCAGTCCAGAAGGCCCAGTTCTGGTGGGGAGGAGCCTTTCCCGGAATTACTTCCTCCCTTAATTCCATGGGCCCCTTCCCCACCCTGCTGGGCTGGTGCCTCCAGCCTGGGAAAATCCTGGGCAGCCAGGAAAGCAAGAGTTGCTTCCATGTGAGCTCAGTGAGTCACTCTGGGTTCCCCAGGGGATGGAGTGGGGCAGCCTGCACCGGGCTCTGACTCCTGCTCTGGCAGGGGTGGCCAGCATGGTGTGGCTGCAGGGAAGTAGCACAAGGGGCAGGGGCAGAGCCCTGCGAGGGTCCACGGCAGCCAGGGGTGGAGCGAGGAGCCCATGCTCCCAGGAGAGGAAGGAGCATGCTCACCAGAGTCAGGAGCCTCCGAGCCATGCAGCGTGCCCTTCCTGGCTCCTGCCAGCCCCCGGGCACCACCCTGGCTGCTGCGTCCAAGCTCGGGGCCTGGGGGCTGGTGGGAACCATGACCACCTCAGCCCGGCCTGTCCCTGCAGTGGAGCAAGGAGGAACGGGGCAGGGCGGGGTGCCAACTAAGGGCATCACGGGAGCAGAGCTCAGACTCTGACCCTCTGCACACCCGAAGCCCGAAGTCCCCGCCATCACTGTGTGGGGCCCCACGTGCACCGTCCTGTGACTCCCCTCGCCCTGTCACCCGCTGTGCGCATTTCCCTGCCCCGTGCTCAGCCCCCAGGTCTGGAGCAGGCTGCATGCGGGCAGCTCCCTAAGCGGCCCTGACAGCCAGCAGAGCCCACTCGGCCAGCACTCACCACCGCTCTGTCCTCTGCTGTGGGAACCCAAGTCGGGCCTCCCTATTTGTAGCCTCCCAAGGAATGAAAGGGTCAATTAGGAGCGTCCAAGTAGGTCAGCGCTGAGGCTGCCCCCAGGGCCTCCCGTGCCTGCTCTCCTCCTCCGAAGCCCCTTCACAGGTGCACCGCCCGCCCACCCACACGCACATCAAAGGGCCAGACTGGGCTTCACACAGCAGTCATTACTCCCCCGGACTCCCGCCCAGGACTGGGAGACTGGGAGCCGAACCCAGGACAGGGGCCTCCTGCCCGCACCTTCCAGCCTGGCTCACATCACCCCCGCCCGCCGCCACATTTCTGCTCTCTAAGTGGCCCTCACTTAGGGTCCAGCTCAGAGTTCATATGTGGGAATCCCCCGGGCACCTGGCCGGAACCCTCACTGCAGATGAGGAACGGAGTCTGCGTAGCTCTGCCCCCAGCCACAGACTCCCTTGGCTCCGAACCGCCTGTGTCCCCGGGGGGAGTCAGTGTGGGAGATCTCCTAGGGGTGCTTCCAGCAGGCTGGACTTGAGTTTTCTTGCCTCTCCACCCAAGTGACATGGATGAACTTGGGCGACAGGCTCAAGAGAAAGCAGGCTTGGGCTGGAGCCCTTCAGCCTGTGAAGAAGCCCAAATCCAGTGGCCGCGCCCAGAGAGCCTGCAAAGCCATGAGCTCTCCCCGCCTGGGCCATCTCCTCCTGGAGACCCCGCCTATGGTGAGAGGAGTGAGCAGTGAGGCACGGAGAAGGGGGAGCTGTGATTGACCCTGTTTTAGGGGTCAGGAGCTACAGGGATCAGAATACAGGGCACAGTAGAAACCAGGACTGGAGTGGACCAGCAATTAATTCTGTCCTGGATCAGTCACTCGCTTCATTACCTCGTCTGTCAGTGATGGAGAGTATTAATATAACCACCTCAGAGCGTTGCTGTGGGGCTTAGATGAGTTAACACACAAATCTCGTGGAATAAATGGTGCCCAGCACATAGTAAGGGCTTGATAAATGTTCACCAAGAGGCAGTCATTTGCCCAAGGTCACAAAACCAGTAAATGGCAGCATCAGGAGCCACTGGTTGTTCATATAACTGTTTAGAGGCGTCTGTGTAGGCACTGAGAGGGGGCCCATAAACAGAACTGGCACAGCGCCTGTTCCAGGGAGGCGGCAATCTCCTGGAGTGGCAAAGACAGTAGCAAAGGACTGTCTAACAGGCTAGTGATGTAAGTACTCTGAAGAGAAACCAAGCAAAGCCAAGAGAAAAAGAGGGATTTGGGTAGGGCTGGGAGCATAGCTCAGCGGCAGGGCATTTGCCTAGCTTGTGTGAAGACCTGAGCGGGATCGCTAGCACTGCAAAAAAGAAAGGGAGGAAGGGAGGGAGGGAGGAGGAAGGAAAGAAGATGATCCTGGTGAGGAGCCACCTCGGACACATGCCAGGAGGAGCCCAGCAGCTCGGCTGCAGAGCCCATGTCCTTGCCCACCGTCTAATGTCGCTGGGCACAGCCACACTCCCAGGATGCAGCCCCTCAGTCTACTGACGAGACCAGACGAAGACTGCAGAGGCCAGGGGCACCCAGGACTCCGAGGTGGAGGGGCAGCTGGGGAAACGGAGCTGGGCACCATCTTCGCAGCTGGAAGATGGGCATGGAAGAAGACCCAACCGGACCCTCACTGAATCCCCACCTGACCTTGGTACCTGACGCCATTTATTTTATTAGCGCCTGATCCCCTTGCCGCCAAAATGGGTTTGGAAAACTCCTCCCCTCGGAATCGGTCGAGTGCTTCCTATCACTGGCTGCTCCCGTGGACATGTCGGGCAGCGGCATCTGAGTGCCCTGCAGACATCCACGGAAGGGCCCGGATGGGCCTCCTCCTCCTCCTCACCAGGTCGTCTTGCTCAGCCTTCTGCCTCCAAGCAGGTGGGGGACAGAGATTCAACTGCTCTTCCCTTGCTGCCCCAAACTCTCCTTAGAGTGACTGACATCATCCTGCCCTGCTAGAAGTTCTCCAGCATCTACCCTGAACCCCCTTTTCTGCAGTGGCTCTGAGTGCATAGCACAAGAACCACCCCAGAGGCCTAGACAGACATTCTCCTCCCTTAGGGCCCCGCAACTGAGCTGAGTCCAGCACCCCTGGCCTCTCACCTTCCCAAGCTCCTGCCCTGCTGAGGTGGAGCTGACCGCTCAGAAATGCACCAGGTCTGGAGGCAGGGCAGTCTCTCCTGGGAGAGACAGCAGCGGGGTACAAGGCTGAGAGCAGATGTTCTCCGGTCTGGCGGGACTTCTTACAGCACTGACCTTCTCTCTCTCCTGCCTCCGCCTCTGCCCATCACCACCATCAAGGGCCACGCTAAAGGCCAATGTCTGGTCCTGCACCTCAGGGCAAAAGAAGTTGAGATGTCCTGTGCACCTGGACATTCCATACCTTTGTGCACAAGGTGCCTGGGCCCCAGGGACAGGGGGAGCTGCCCCAATCCCACAGCCCCATGGGGCCAAGGTACTTAGCCAAATGACTGGCCTCCTTTCTCATCTTCTGAGCCCGGTGTAGGGGAAGTGTGCAGAGGGTGTTTGGTTACTTCAGCTGGGGCTGGAGCCAGCCTACAGTTTTGTAGGGCCTTCACTACAAAACTGGGGCGGGAAGTATGATGAGGGTCTGAACCAAGACCCAGGAGGGCCAGCTGAACTCAGCCCTACCACCTTCCAACTGTAAAGTCAACACGGTTGTGTCCATTGACTGCATGGACGAGGACAGTGAGTCAGTGAAGAGGTCCAGTGACCGACAGCAGGGAGCAGAGCTCATAGTTAGGCACTGCCTCGTCTCAGAACCTGTAACAGGGTGGGGGCCTAACTAACCCTCTACCTTCACTTGCTTTTACTTGATCTTAAAAACCACTCGTTTTGGAGGATGTGCAGCTGATGCATAGTCTCCCACTAGCTTAGCTCTGACCCGCGGCTTATGACAGCGGTCGCCTAGCTCACTTTTCAGGAACTTGAAGGCTGCTTTTGGTGAAAGCATGGACTCTTCACTCGAACTCGAGAAGGTGTCCCTGGTTGGCTCCAATGGGGTGAGGAAGCTTCCCATCCCTGCTTCCATCCAGTATCTGTATCCTGTGCTACCTGGACCATTAGGGCAGATGCCTGCCCAACTCTGCATGTAGAAGTGTTAGTCACTTAAGGATGTTTGTCCCAGACTTTGTCCTAGATTTCCCCAGTCTCTCTCCTCCTTCTGCATGGTTGAAAACATAAAGGTAAGAGCAGCTAAGGTATTTGCAGGGTTTGTAGGAGCATGATGACCTTGTGACTATGTGCAGACCAACAACCAGGCTTCCCAGCGACCGGTTCTAGACCACAGGAGAGGCATCTGCAGGTCTGCAGTCATCAGTCCTTCCTAGCCTGAGCCTGGCTTTCCAGGAATAAGAAGGAGTTTGAAACCCAGACTGCGTTAAGAGTTAAGATGGGGAGGTTGTGTTGTTTGTTGTTGTTTGTTTTTCAGGGTACTGGCCCACCATTTCCTCTCTTCCTGGCATCCGATAAATCTTTTTCCTTTCCTCAGCTACTTGACCTCAACTCATCCTACCCCTTTTCAAGTGATAACTTGGGTTTAGTAACAAACCCGCCTTTGCCCTCGGCCTCCCTTTCTTGGAGCGTTAATGGACTGCCAGGGGTCGACCCAAAGGAGCAAGGCCAAAGTGACAGTAAGACCTAGTGGGAGCACAGCTAGCTAAGAGGAGGAGACAGCTAGAACAGGGCCAGGCCCAAGGCAGAGGCAAAGCCGAGGTGAGACGAGCCAGCCCGTGGTCCAGGGCTGAGCTGACAGAAGCCAGGTCGCAGGATGGAGGCAACAGCGAGGCCTACAGCCTCCCAGAGATGAGCAACAGTCCAAGCAGGGAGCTTAAGCAATGCTACAAACATGCAGTAACAGGGTAACAGACACGCGGACAGACGACCAAGCACTCTGACCCCCACCGCCTCCCGCCAGAAATGCCTGGCCCCTTCTCTGGCCCTGCACGCTTGCTGCCTGCCTCGTCTTCCTACTGAATCCGTATGAGCTAAGTGACTGCACTTGCAACCCTATAGATGGGCTGCAGTTTGACCCAAGGAGCCTGTGATGTGATTTTACTGCAACAAAAGCCCTAGACAAATTGCTCAGTGGCCCCGTTCGGGACCTCTCCTGCCTCTCTTGATAAACCTTTCCTGCTCTTTGTCTTTGCCTCCTTTGTCCTCGATTCCATTCCATTCTTTGGTGGCCTGAGACTCAGACCCCACACGCCCAGCAGGTTGGGAGTCACTTCCCTGTGACAGCAGCAGATGAGATTCTTGAGGCTCTGGTCCCAGCAGCAACTCTGGGGGAACGGAAAGGAACCGACCGACGACCCCAAACAGTGCCGCTTCCGGACCCTCCCCCTGCCGCCTCAGCACAAAGAAGAGGAAGAACTGTTGGGACTGGGTGGAAAAGGCTGGCAGTTGTCAAACACTGAGAGAAAGATTCGCCCCTTTTGGAGCTCTCTACTGTGGGCAAGTGCAGCGGCAGCTAGCCAAGGCCAGAACCCACCGGCCAGAATGACCCTAGAACCCACCACTGAGAAGCCGGGACCCACTGTGAGCCTCAGGCACCAAATAAATCCCACTGCCCGGTCCAGCCAGTGAGTGGGCTGCATCCCACTGACAGGGGTTAGGGGACCACGGGCACCTGGACTCTCGTTCAGCCAGGTCCCCTGCACCTCAGCAAGGCCCGAGGCTGTGTGATGACTGCAAGACGTGGAAGGGGAACAAACTGCCACCAGCATCCCCAGAGCGTGAGGACTTTTCCTACGGATAGGCAAGTCAGGGCGCTGGGCCTTAGCGAACCTCTCTCAGCCTCTGTTCTCTGTGACTCTTGGAGACCACAGCACACCCCTCGAGGGGCCTAGCAGAGCGCCTGGCCCCGGGCTGCTCTGCAAAGGGCCCTGATGACAGTTCCTCTTGGGTTACCAGGGGGCCAAAATGACAGTGCAGGAGGGCACTGAGAGCTGCTACAGGCAGTTATGGACCCTGACCTGAATCTGCCGGCTCCTTCCCGACAAGCTCCTGGGAAGGTGGGCTTCTCCCGCTTCGCCGCCATGGAACAAAAGCAGCTGTCCTGAGGGCCTGCCCGGCCCACACGTGCAGTGAAGCCAGGGCTGAGCGGACAGGCCAATGTCCCAGCCCCGCCACACCGGCTGCTTCCCCTCTGAGGATCCCCTCGGAGATGCTCTGTTAGTGGTTCCAAGCATAAGGGTTTCCAGGAAAGCAAGAAAAATGACCAAACAATTCAGAAAAGTGCTCTTCCTGCTTGCCTGCTGTCCATCCTCTTTATTTATTATTAAAACTCTTTGTTTCCCTTCAAGGTGTCAACAAGCCCAGTTAAAAACACTTGGTTACAGCCATGAGTAGCCCTGTTACATACTTAAGACAAAAAAGGAAATAGCCTGAGGGAGGTACTTAGCTATAAATAAGACATTTCTTAAAGAAAAACATGAGTTACTTCCAAACATGAAGCCAAAGCCATGAAGATCCCGCTCGCAGAGAGCAGAACCAGGCCTGGTCAAGGACATGTATCTGGCTCCATTTCAGAACTGCTATGGGCCAGTCAGCACCTTGGCCACCCTTTCCAACTGAGAGCTTACTGCAGGTGTCTGTCTGTCTGTCTGTCTGTCTGTTTTGTGGTACTGGGGATCGAACTCGGGACCTTGCACTTGCCAGGCAGGCGCGGTGCCCCTGAGCTGCATCCCAGCCCAGGTGTCTGTCTCGGTCTCACTTTCTAACACTGAACATTTTCTTCCTGGGGCTTTGGGTCACAACGAACCACTGTGAGGGATGGCACTGGCTGACCGCACTCGGGGAAGCTCAGTTATACCTGGACTAAGCTTATGTAACAAGATCTTAGACTCCAAGTCAGCGCCTTGTTGAGCCAAGACTCTGGATCTTGGGAAGGAGGTGAGTCTCTTCGGCACACGGGAGGGAGGTAAGGGCCAGGGATCTAGCGCAGTGGTGCCGCCGCCTGCCTCGAAAGCGCAAGGTCCTGAGTTCCATCCCCAGTACCAAAAACAAAACCAAAAACATGGGAGGGATGTGAATTATTGCCAGAAAATAGACTACAGAGCCAGGCATGGAGGCACACACCTGTAATTCCAGGGAGGCTGAGGCAGGAGGATTGCTGCGAGTTCGAGGCCAGCCTGGGCTACGCAGAAAGACCCTGTCTCAAAAAAAATGCAAAAGGAAATAGACTATGGTATATGCAGTGTGATCAAAAAATACAGTGAATGTTTAAGTTTTTACCTTATTCCCAGTTAAACACATAGTGCCATGAATCCCCCTCAAAATACTCCTGCTTACTTCAACACACTTATCCCATTTTTCTGGCCACTTTCAGAAGCAGTTCTGGAAATCCTCTTTCGTGAGTGTCAGTTGCATTGGCATGGCTGCCTTTATGTCCTGAATTGATTCAAAATATTTACCTTTCACGATCATTTTGGCTTTAGGAAAGAGAAGTCACGTGGTGCCAGGTCCAGTAAACAAGGTAGATGAGGACACACCATGTTTCACAAATCTTCCTTTCCACTGGATGGCGCTTGGCAGCAAAATTCACTGTGTTTTTCATCACACCTTGTAAAGACACTTGTCTTGGTCACTTTTCTCACTGCTGAGACAAAATACCCAACACTCACAAGTTAAGGGAGGAAAGGTTTACTTAGCTCAAGGTTTGTAGAGGTTTCAGTCCACAGTCAGCTGGCTCCAAGGCAGGCAGAGGCAATCACAGGGGAGAAACAGTTCATACTGGGCAGAAGGTAGCAAAGCAAAAGCAAGCAAAGGATGCCAGGGATGTAGCTCAGTGGTTCTGCCACCTGCCTCGCAAGCTCAAGGACCTGAATTTGATCCCCAGTACCAAAAACAAGCAAAGGACGACCACAGCTCTTTCTATCCCTTATATCTTATCCAGGCTACTCAGGGTGGATAGCACTCATGACCTTAATCCTGTGCCCTTGAGCCTAGCACTGCACCATGAATCAATCCCAGCGTCACACTCTATTAAATTCAGCCACCTCTGAAAAAAGCCCCACCTATGACTGCATGAGGTTTTGGGGAGACATCTATACATAAGCCATCACAACATTCAAGAAAGAGGACTTCAGAACTGCTTCAGAAAGTGACAGGAAAGATGGGAGAAGTGTGTTCAAAGCAGGGGTAGAATTTTGAGGGGGATTAATGACAATGTGTCTTATACCGTAGTAGTGCACTTTTTAAATTTAAACATTCACCATATGTTCTATCACTCCTTGTATAGTCTCCATGGACGGTCACCACCGATGTCAGGCATTCTGTTCTTCCTGTGAGGGGACATCTAATTCTCCTCCCCTAGTCTCTGAGCAGCCTTGAGGACTTGTCTATCAGGGGGATTCAGCAGAAACGATGTCTGGGATTTCTGAAATACATCTTTTTTCTTTCTTTCTTTTTTTTTTTTTTTTTGGTACCAGGCATTAAGCTCAGGACCTTCCCTGAAATAAATCTTAAGAAGCTCTGCAGCTTCCATGGGGGCCTCTTGGGAAAGGTCCCCTCAGAATCCAGCTGCCCTGCTCTGCCAGCAGCTTCCGGTTCCAGCTGAGCTCCTGGCTAACAGCCACTGTCAGCTGCTGGCATAATGAGTGAGTGTCATTGGGTGTTCACTTGAACTTCCAAATGACTCCAGACCCACCATCCACCTGCAGCTGCATGAGATACCCCACGTGAGAGACATCAGCTAAGCCCAGTCTGCCCACAAAAGAAGAGAGATAACAAATTTATGTTTTAAGCCACCCCCTCTGAGCCACTGACCCACACCTGAGCTGCTTGCCTTCGCTTCATACTGCGTCAGGATTTCAGTGCCAACTCACTGAAGCTGCTGCTAGTCAGGCTGACCCATAACGGACACCTGAATACATTCCTAACTTGTAGAGAATTTGGTAACAAGAAGTGGGATCCACCAAGAGGAAGAGCCTAAAATGTGAAATTAGATGAAGGTAAGAAAGAAAAATAGGGGGATCTAGCCTTGTAGGCTAGAAGTTGGTGGCCTTTGTGATGACATGACAAAGCATCTGGTAAATTGTCACCTGACGTATCTTAGGCTGCAGAATATAAAGCAACATAGGGTACAGTTCTAGGAAAAGAGCAGAAAGAGATAATGTGTCATGAGCTGGCTCCCAGGAGCCTTTAGCAGAAATCAACAGGGGAAGCATGAACTCAAAGTAGAGCTAGCCAATCTGGAAGCAGACATAAAAATAAATACAGCTTTTCTAAAAACTAGTACACTGCCCATGGCCTCTAACTGACAAGAAGCGGAAATGAGGCTTTGTGGGGTTGGTCAGACTCTGGAGTTGGCGTCTCTGGAGCAAGTCCTAATACCACTCATTGTTCACAGTATTGAATATGAAGCTTTGTCCGTTCTGAGATTATACCCTTCCTTCTTTGTTGGAATTAAAATGTTCCTTTTTTATGAGATGATAATGATGGTAGATGATGTTTGCCTTTTATTAAAGCATCTTTATTTGGCTAAATAAAATGTAGCAAACCCATCTTAATTTCCAACCTTTTATCTGTGCCTGGAATCTCAACAACTGGGACCTGAGGCAGCTGTGGTCTTGGGGAGGCTTCAAGAAGAAGAGTCAGGGTGCAGATCGGGGTGGGGTCCGGGAGGCTGGATTGCGGGGATCACGGAGCCATCACTCCATTACAACGAATGAAAGACAAGTTTGAGTATAAAATTCAAAGAGAGTCTTCCTGGGCTCAAGAGACCCGCAGCAGGAAGTGGAGCTGTGTGGGGTGGCCTGGGCAGCCCTGGAAGACGTCCCTGGACACTGGTGACGAGGGCCAGAGCCAAGGCGCGCTCCTGAGTCCACCTGCTGGTCACTGTTCCCATTGCGGTTGCCCATCCGGTTCTTTGGCCCTCCTCATCTACTTCTGAAGATGAGAGAAACGGGCTCACCCCACGCTGGCCCTGCCCACCTGCACACCAGACCCTCACCCAGGCAGACTGGTGAGGCTCTGCAGCGGCCTGGGGAGGGCACGCGTTATCCCTGATCCCCACTGGAGCCCAGCACGGTGTCATGGCCCTGTCCTGCTGATGAGGAAACTGAGGCTTGTTTCTCCCATCATCAGCAGGATGGATTCAGAAAGGGCAGGCTTTTTTTTAATACCAACCAAAATGATTAGGAAAAAACCATATTTTGGTGGGGGTTTTTTTTGTTTTGTTTTGGTACCAGGGATGGAACCCTGGACCATACATTTGTGAGGCAGGCATGGAGCCACTGTGCTAAATCCCCGGCCCCATATTTTGGTTTTTTAAAACAGGCTCTCACTATGAAGTTCAGGCAGGCCTCAAATTTGCAGCAATCCTCCAGCCTCAGCCTCCAGATTGCTGGGATTATGGGTGTGCACCACCACACCCTGCTAATTGAAAAATTTTAAACAAAAAAAAGACAGAGTGGGCAGGGTGGTGCACAGCTGTAATCTCAGCACTCAGGAGGCTGAGGCAGGAGAATCATCACGAGTTTGAGGCCAATCTGGGCTACCTAGTGAGTTCAAGGCCAGTCTGAACTACAGGGTGAGGGCCTGTTTTAAAAAAAACCACATGAAAGAAGTTAAACACCCAGGGCCTAGGGACCAGGGTGGAACCTGGGGACGCCAGGACAACCTAGAGGTCGTCTTTTCCATGGCCCTGGCCCTGAGAATGCCGGGGGTCAGCCTGCAAAGGTTGGGCAGGCCCCAGTGAGGCCAGAGGCAGGGAAAGTCATGGAGCAGCCCACCAGCCACACCCTGCCCGTTGCATTCTACCCACGGCAGGAAAACATGGGGAGCAGCCCTGGGCAGAGTTAGGCCGCTACTCAAGGCCAGACCCAAGTGGTGCCAGGTTCTTGAAGGCCCTGCCTCTTGTCCTTAGCCCTGCTAGAGACCAGGACTTTGCATGAAGCAAAAGCAAAAGGCAAACAAACTCAGGAGCCTTGTTAAAGCAGCCCTTAGGTATCCATCACCTCCTAGGATACAGGCCTGGACACCCAGCGAGGCCCTCACTGAGACACCCCAGGACTAACCCAAAAGACAGCCTCAGAGTAAGCCCCAACTGAGACTCGAAGAGGAACCTGGAGAATCATCCCTCTATCTGACACTTCACAGAGGGTTCCCCCAACGGGAGAGGCCCAGAGAGGCTGGGGGCTGCTCGAACCAAAGAAGCCAGAGAGAGAAGTGTGCAGACCAGGCTCAAGGCAGGGACAGAGATGAGACCATGACCTAGACGGAGGCACTCACCAAACCAGGTGGCAGAGGCCCAGGAGGGAGCCTGGGCCTAGGCAGCTGGGGTGGGGATTCATAAGCCAGCCCACTGGCCGCCACATCTGCATCTGCACCAGCTGGACCTGCCCTAACCTGATCTTGCCTAGCCTGGCCCCTGCCACCCGCCTACTCTCTCACCTTCCTCCTTCCAGGCTGCAACTCAGCCACCAGCTGGAGGAGAGAGCCCTGGGCCCAGCCCAGGGTGGCCCCAGAGGCACCCAGGCCACAGCAGCCGCAAGGAGACGGGCTGGGGAGGGGAAGCAGCCCTATTCTGGGGCCAGGCCTCAGTCTCATGACATGCCTGTGGGCAGCAGCTCACGCCTGTGTCAGAGACTGCAGGGACAAAGAGCGGGGGGAATGCCCAGCCCTGTGCTCCTGTGCGTGCGCATGTGCAGATGTGTGTAGCAATCTGGGGCCATCTTTAGGAAGCTGGGGACCATCAAGAGAGGACAGAAGGGCTAATGTCAGAGGGCGGGAGACACAGCCACTTAGTGCCCTACTGGAATACCTCTCATGAGGTAACAGGCGACTGGGGACGTTAGCAGTTCCTTGCAGGGAGAAATGGGGATTGCTGCGTGCAGCCACAGCTGGGGCGACGGACTCCGACTCGACTCGGCGTGGAGCGCAAGGGAGCCCAGAGGGCTTTCAGGGACAGCAGGAAATCTCAGCTTCTTCCCCGAAACCCGGGTGGGCAGGGAGGACACCCTCCTCCAGAGCTGAAAGTGAGGGGCTGGAGGCCAGGCCTGAGGCAGGGGCCGAAGCCGTCCAGCTGCCTCCCGCCCCCAATGCCCTCCCCACACCAGGGGAGGGCAAACAGCACACGCACCCCAGCCAGCGCAGAGGCTCCCGGGGGAGAAGCTTCACCTGCCCCTCCCAGGCCCCTGTCCAGCCGGTCCCAGCCCCAGCCGGCCCGCCCTGCCTGGAGGAGCTGCCCTCCCCTCCATCTGTCACGCAGCTTCCCCACCCGAGGTGACTCACCCGAGGTTCCAGGCCCGGATGCCCAGGCAGTGAGTCAGCGGCACACCCCACTCCCCAGGGCCAGGGCGGCGGCCGCTGGAAACCGAGTCCAGGAGCACCAGGCTGAGGCCCCTCCCCGCCAGCCAGGAGATGGGAGGGCCACACCAGCCAGGGCAGGCCGAGGGCAGGCCGGGGCGGGCGAGCCAGCCAGGGCCGCGGACACGGAGTGGGTCTCGGGTCTCGGGTCTCGGGTCTCGGGCTCGTGCTCCTCTCGCCCCCGGAAGGGGCTCACAGGCCCCTCCTCCACCAGGCCCCTGACCGACCGCCTCGCGCTATTTCCCTTCCGTCAAAAGCTTCTTCGGGCACAACTCAGTAGAAGCGGGTAAGGACCGAGGCGGGGCAGTGTGTTGCTGCCCCCAGTGATCTTCCCTCTCAACTGCGCGTCCCCCAGACTCTGCCCCACTGCTTTCCACCCTCCCTGACATCCCCTGCCTGCCTGGTTCTCTGCGCCTGCAACACACCCAGGGACACGCACAAACCCGCCTGGCAGGCACCTGGCTTACGCTGCTCCCTCTGCTCAGAAGGCGACCGTGCCCAGCCACAGCACCTCTCCTGCTGGCACGATGGCTCATGCCCCACGCCCGTAGACCCACACTCTGGGAGGCTGAGTAGGGAGGGTCACAAGTTTGAGCCCAGCCTGGGCAATTCAGCAACTTAGCAAGACCCTGTCTCAAGCAAATAAAAGAAAAGGTCTGAGGATGGAGTTCTGTGCAAAGATCCTAGTTTCAGGCTCCAGGACCAGACAGGGATGGAGAGAAAGTGGGGGTCCCAGCAACCCCTTAAAGGCCAGTTAAATGCCAGCCACTCGGTGGAGCCTTCCCACACCCCAACCAGACCGCCTTTCTGCCTGATCTGTCCCACACAAAGCGCCCGGTCCCCGTGTGCTCAGGGCAACCCTCTTCAGAGTGTCACTCGTGTGCCCTGGTGCTGGGCCTTATTCATTCTGCGAGAGCAAAGGGTCTCGCCCACACCAGACGCCCACAGTGTTGATAGCTGCTGAATGGCAGCAGGGGGCCACTCGGATACTGTTTAGGAGCCAGGGAGGGGGAGACCTTCTCACTGCCCGAAATCACATCACTGATTACGCTAGCAAAGAATAGCTCCTCAGTTCCCAGGAGTGGAATTGAGACACTAGGTGGAAAACAGCTACCAGTCCCTGAGGAGGGACGCAGGAAGCATGCCACCCCCGGGACCCCAGGAAGGGGCTGAGCAAACTCCCCAGCAGACAGGGCACAGACAGGAGGCAAACAAAAAGGAACAAAGAAGCAGTCATGGAAAACTGGAGAGAAAGAGTGGCCAAGGGACTATGAAAGGGAAGTGGGGAGGGAGGACAAAGAGCAGAGAAGGCGCCAGCGGGAAAGGCACGAGGTGATGGGGCTGTGTAGAGCCAGCATCGGGGGCCTGTCCACAGCCACGGTCTCACCTCAGGGACAGAGACCAGAACTGCGTCCATTCGATGGCCATGTCCCTGAGGCTGACTGCTGTGCAGCCTGGAGCCACTGCATCCCCAAGGGAGGACAGGCCTGTTGTCACTTCCTGTGCTAGTTCTTCAGTTCTCCACGAGGCAGAGAAGCCAGGACACAGCAGGCAGTGGGGACATCGAAGGCAAGGACTATGCCCATGCCCTGCCTGAGAAGCGGGGTGCTCACTTCACGTTCTGTCCAACCCTCACCCAGCTACTGTACAAGTGCCGGAAGGTTTGCCTGCCTGGCTGCTGCCCTCTGGTGGCTGTCATGTGCCATCACAGGCTGGTCCTGGCTCTCCCTCCCTCACCCGCCCCTTCTCCGCCGTCCTCAAGGAGGAGGCAGGGCTGATTCATCTCCGGGGAGCCTCGCAGCAGAGGTTTCCTGCACACCCCCGCTGAGAAGCCCAGGTTGCCCTACATAGAAGCCAGACACCAGAAAGCTGTTTGAAAAGCCCAGGAAGCCCGGGCCAGAGGGAAGCAGGCGTCAGGTATGAGACACTGCCAAGGTCAGCCCGCCTACTCGGCCCCTGGGGCAGTACAGAGCGGAGCAAATGCCAGGTGTGCCCGGCACTGCCTGACTCAGCCTCTGGCCTGGGGTGAGCTGTACCACAGCTCGACACTCAGACTGTTTCAGCACAAGGATCATCCCCTGCACCCCAAAATAAACTCTGAAATACTCTGTTACAAACTGCACTACATCATTTATGACCCTAGTTTTACACTTGATCTTAGCCGAGAGGCCAAGAAGTGATGTGGCCCATTTTATTCGTCAGATCTGTAGCTATGCCCTGATGCATGTTCAGCGTGAGACAACACACATTCTCACGCTGGGCTCCATCATCCTGGGCCTGGTGCTCTTCTGTGTGTGCGCATGTGCGTCTGTGTGTGTGTGTGCACGTTTGTAGGAACTGACCCTTCACTGCACCCCCAGCCTTTTTGTTTTTTATTTTAGATGTAGTCAGAGCCACTAAGTCACCAGGCTGGGCTGCAATTGCCACCCCCTGCCTCAGCCTCCTGGGGTGCTGGGGTGACAGGTGTGCACCGCCGCGCCTGGCTTGAGTTTGCCATTCTTACTGAATGCATGGATTCTCTTTGCTATGTGCCGCACAATTTCGGTACATCGTCCCACTTAATTCACAGGAAGTCATTGTAATCTTCCAGAGCTTAACGGGGAAATCAAGGCTCAGAACTCAGGGTCAGTCAGGGAGGAGGCAACCCTCCAACGCAGGTGTTTAACAGTCTTACACCTCCTCTGTGAGCACCAAGCATCGGAGATCCGTGGGGCCCCAGCGCCCCCATCAGCCCTTCTCTCACCTCTCACCTGCCGCCCAGGACCCCGCCTCTGCGGCCTCTCTGGCTCTGGCATCTTTTCCTCTTGAACTTCGCGGTGGCCTGGATTTGGAGTAAGCTGGAAGACATGTTCATCTCCCGGGGCCTTCGGGCTTCTCCTGTGAGAAGAACAAAGAACCCTACCCACCCAGGACCCAGACCTCAGCAGCCCGCAGCCCCTGCTGCTCCAGCCTTCCAGGCAGCTCGGGCTGGTCCCCTCGCCCTCAACCCCGCCGAGCCTCCGTCCCGCCCGGACACGCCCAGGCTCTGCCCTTCCCGCCGCCACTCCCGACGTTCACGACCGAGCCGTCAGGTCCCTCTGGGATTAGATGCTCAGCGGCTGGTCGCCTGCAAGAGGCAGCCTTGAGCAGGATGCCTGCCGGCCACGCAGCCTGCCGGGCACACTCGCCCGGTGTGCCCCAGCGCGCCCAGGCCGAGCCCGGCCACCTGCCAGTGCCCTGGTCACACCTGCAGCTCGGCACCAGCTCAGCTCTGAAGCCGCTTCCCAGCCTCCCCACGCCCCGGAGCAGGGTGTGCAGGAGCACACAGGGCGCTCGCACTGACGGGGGCTCCTCCAGAGCAGCCTCCGCCTGCGGGCGAGGCGCCGGGCTGGGAAGGCGCTGGGCGACGCGGGGCTGGGGGTGGGGGGCCAGATCGCTCGGGCCTTAGCGCCAACTCCCATCCTCTGACTGGCAGCCTGACCTGAGACCTCCTCAGAATCCAGGAGAAAATGTGTGAACAGTTAGCACCCACAGCACTCAGGCCTCTCCCTTCTCCACCGCCGACTCCGAAGGGTCTACACCATTAACCAGAATTATTCCTCCAAGGGGTCCTTCTGCACCGCCCTCCAACCACCCCACCACCGTCTGTGACCCGGGAAAGGGGTTTGGGGCCGAGCGCCGTGGGACAGACGGACACAGGGGCCCTGGAGGGAGACCCTAAGCCCCAGATTCCTCCCTCATCCCTCACTCCAGGATCCTGTACCGTAAACTGATAAACTAAGGCAAAAGAGCATTTAAAACTCAGATAATCGGGATCCAAGTGTGGAAGGGCACACCTGTGATCCCAGCACTCAGGAGGCTGAGGCAGGAGGACTGCTGCAAGTTCAAGGCCAGCCTGGGCTACATGATGAGATCATGTCTCCAAAAAAAAGAGGAAATTTTTAAAAATTAGATAATCTTCAAAGTATAATAGAAGAACGGGACCAGAGATGTAGCTCAGTGGTAGAGTGCGGCCCTGGGTTTGATCCCCAGCACCACAATAAATAAATAGGTAAATAAAGAAATAAAGGGCTGTTTTGTGAGACTGGATCTCCCAAGCAACCTCTTAGTGATAATCAACAAATGAATTGTGAGTACTTCATGGACAGCCTTTTTGAGGAAGCTCAGAAGATGGTGCCAAATGCCTGCCCCTCTGAACAGAAAGCAGGCCGGTGTAAGCAGGAAATTATGGAAAGAGAGTCACAGCCAAGGGCCGTCTTAGGTACTTTTCTCGTTGCTGAGACGAAATATCCAACACCCAAAGGTAAAGGGGACAGGCTTATTTGGCTCACAGTTCACAGAGGTTTCAGTTCACAGCCAGCCGCCCCAAGGCTTGGGATGAGGGGAGTCACAGAGGAGAAACAGTCCAAGGCAAAGCAGAGCAAGCGGAAAGCAGCAGGCAACAAACCACAAGCACGACCTTTTTTCTGTCCCCTGTATCCTTCCAGCTTCCGGGTTACTCACCCTAAAGGCACTCACACCCAGGGTGGGGCAGCCTTAACCCTAGCATCACACAGTGAATCCATCCCAGCATCACATCCTTGATCCCAGCAGCACACACCCTAGATCCAGCCACCTCCGAAAAGCCCCACCTGTGACCCCATGAGGCTTTGGGGGACCTCTAGATACAGCCACAACAAGGGTGATTCCAAAGATATTCCAGGAATGCAAATCCACTGTCTATACCACAGAGCTGATGTTTAAGCCTCTGAGTCATGCGCTTTGTCAAATCCACTATGAACTCCACCAAAAAAGAAAGATACGGCCTGCCGGGGATTTAGCTCAGTGGTTTCGTTGCCTGCTGTGCAAGCACAAGAACTGGGGTTCAATCCTCAGTACCAAAAAAAAAAGATGATACCAGATGTGGTGGTACACGCCTGTAATCTCAGCACTCTGGGGGGGGGGGCAGGAGAAACACAAGTTCGAGCTCAGTCTGATCAATTTAGTGATTTAGTGAACCCTGTCTCAAAATTTTAAAATTGGGCATTTTGCAACTTACTAAGGCCCTGTCTCAAAATTTTAAAAATAAATAAATAAAAGGGCTGGGGATGTAGCTCAGTGTGAAGGTCCTGGATTCAATCCCCAAAACCAAAAAGAAAGCCTTCGGAATCGAAGAATTTTGATAAAGAGGAGATGGATATTGAAGAAAATAGAAATGAAGAGCTGAGTGTGTTTGCACATGCTCATAATCTGGGAGGCTGAGGCAGGAGGATTGCCGTAAGTTTGAGACCCCACCTGGGCTGCATAGTGCGTCCAAGGCCAGCCTGAGCTAGACAATGAGACCCTGTCTCAAAAAAAAAAAAACAGGGTCAGGGATTTAGCTCAGTGGTTTCACTGCCTGCCTTGTAAGCACAAGGACCCCAGTTCAATCCCCAGTCCAAAAACAAAAAAAATCAAGGTGTGGTGGCACATGCCTGTAATCCCAGCACTTGGGAGGCTGAAGCAGGACTGCTGCTAGTTCGAGGCCAGCCTGGGCTACACAGCAAGACCCTGTGGTTCTGCCGCCTGCCTTGTAAGCAAAAGGACCTGAGTTTGATCCCCAGTACCAAAAAAAGAAAAAAAAAGAAAAAAGAAAATAAATAAACAAAAAGAAAAAGTGAGACCCTGTCTCAAAAGTAAATAGATATATAAATAAATAAATAAATAAGCAAGCAAGCAAATCAGGATGGAGAAGAAGTCAGATTAGCTGGACTTTTGGTTGAGATACGAAGTAACTCTCTTGATTAGATTTTTAAATAAGAGTCCTAATACAAGTTAGGAAAGCAACCTATGATGAGAAATTATATCCAAGGCACTTTTTCCAAAGTGCTATGCAGAAAGAAAATTGTACTTATCTCAAATACCAATTAACCAATACAAGATATATTAAATTGTTGTGGCATTTATAATCTTAAAATGCCATAAGTTAGCAAGTACATTTACACCATCAGTCGTTCAAGCATCATTCCCAAACAGTGGAAATTTATTTAAAAGTGACCTTGATGGGTTGTAAATGGTTACCCGTGGGCAGGCAACTGCCTGCAATCCCAGCTGCTCGGAAAGCTGAGGGAGGGGAATCACTGGCCTGCGGCCAGCTGGGACATTTTAGCAGGACTCCCGTTCTCAAGAAAAAGAGAGAAAAGGAGGAAGAGAAGAAGGGAATTTTTTTAAATGGCAACACACAGGAGAATTATGAGTTGGAGCACAGCTTGGGCATTTAGCAATTTAGTAAGATCCTGTCTCAAGTGTTTTTAGAAAATTAAATGGGCTGGGAGTGTAGCTCAGGGCAAAAGCCCTGGGTTTAATCCCCAATACTGCAGATAGACAGACAGACAAACATGGAAATACATTAAAACTACACCTGATTAAAAGCGTCAACACAATTGCCTTACACCTTAACTACAGCCGGACTTTGATAGGGCTGTTCCCTTCAGGCCCCGTCAAGGAGCCTCACAGCAGTCTCACTTTCTGTTCAGTGATGGCAAGGTACCCACAGCCGCGCATCTGACTCCAGGATCTAAGTTTCCCTTTTGGTTTGATTTGCTTTTTGCGGCGTTGGGGAGCTGCCCCGGAGCCCAGCAGCGCCAGGAGAGCACTGTCCACTGAGCTCACCCCCGCCCATATTTCCATT